AATTTCTTCTCCGATTTCACTTGTCTCTCGGCCACCGCATCAACACGGACACCCAAATCAGTGACTGAGGTACGCAACCCAGCCATATCCTACTCCAAAGCTATTATACGGGTGCTTCGGCGTGCCTGTGATGGGCCTGCCACATCAACTCTCGGAGGAGGGGGAACCTCAGCTACCTCAGCATCATCATCATCATCATCAGCCAAATTATCATCAGATTCATCAACATTCACCACCGACTCTCGTCCAATTCCATTTTTTGTCACCCGGAATGGGGCTTTTAGTGGAAATCTCCCATCAACTCGAGAGTCTTCAGGGACTCGAGCAATACGGCACAGCCGGGTGATCAACGAATGGAAGTAGTGGCCCTTGGTTAGCTTAGGTGATCGAATGAACATCTCGTCATGAATGAGCCGGGCCACATCAAAATCAGTATGGGACATAAAATAGTGGATTGCGGACGCCCGTGGTAGATTAACATCCGTCGTGTTGCTGGATGGCAACAATCGACTGTTGACAATGGTGAGCCAACACTTGGCGTCCCAATTCAGACAGTGGGAGTTGAGAGTAATCCTGTGTTTGATCCATAGGTGTTCTCCGTCCAACACACAGATAGTATCAAGAAGAGTGCCCCACAAGGCCCGTGTTTTGCTAAAAGTACGATAAGGATCAAAGTCACCCCGAAACACAGGCAGCCTATATACCCTGAAGATGGCATCAAGGGATGCATTTACCGGGGTATTGCGCACCATCACAACCCCATTATCATGTTCTGGCAGGTTTGCATAGAACTCCCTTACTAACCGAACATTAGCCTCCTCCGGTACCTTGAAGAAGATGTCCAGCTGACACCGCTGCAGCTCATTCAACATATTGGGGCATTCCACCTCCAAAGCCATTCGATCAATATGTACCTCTGGTTGTAGCTTCTTGGCTGCTTTCTGGTTATACCTATTCTCCGCTGCGCTGGAGACAAATCGAGTGTTATTGAACTGAGGTGCATTGGCTTGGCTCCTAGATCGTGAGGAGCTTCCCGGTCCACTGATGGATGGTACGGTGTTTCGTCTCTTCCTGGAGGAGCTCATTGTACCTGTCATACAATGGAATGCCTATTAGTGAGTGCGCAAAATATGTGACTAGGGATGGTTACTCAGACTTCACCATACCCATGTCACAATAGTTCCTTATATCCCCATTAGGGCAATTTCCCAAACACCTTGTGAGCAAGGCACTACCCAGTCACATCTAGCCCTCATGGGTACATCCAAATTCTTCCCCAATTAAGTATACTACCACACCACACACCCCACACTTACGTTATTCATTCACCCGCCAATAACACCGTTCAAACATGCAATTCACAGCCCCTTCACCAAGCAAACTTAAAAACGAAATAGAAAAGCAAAAACAAGAAGAAAAGGAGTATACCAACAACTACATCTCAACACAACTTAAAATTACAACACAATACAACACAGTGCCAAAGAAAAGAGAGAGAAGAGTTAAGACCTTACCTTAAAGGGTGAAAGAGGAGAGGAATTGGAGATATGGGTGGTGTGAGTGAAGGAGAAGAAGAAGAAGAGAGGAATCGGGGAGGGTAGGGTTTAGAGAGAGAGAGAAATTGGGAATATGAGGGAGGGGTCGTGTTTTGGGTTTCAGAGGGGGGGATTTGGGTTGTAAAATTAAAAGAGGAAGAAATGAATGAAGAAAAACAGAAAAAAAATATTAAAATTACCTGGACCGACTGCGGTCGACCGCGGCCGCGGTGGGTTCTAAAATCTGAGGCAGAAAGTTTACGCCTCACCGCGGTCCACCGCGGTCGCAATGGGAAGAAAAAATTTGAGGCAGAATGTTTGCTTTCCACCGCGTCGCGGTGGGAAGAAAAAATTCGAGGCAGAATGTTTGCCTTCCACCGCGGTGCTAGTTTTTTTTTTATGTTACATGAACAGTTAATCAACACACTCGTGGGTTGCCTCCAACGCAGTGCCTGATTTAACATCGCGGCACGATGCAAACATTTGATCATCACTCCTCATCCGCGTACTGGGGCTCTCCCAAAGTGATTACCACTCTATCGCCTTTTTCATCAGACATGCCAAGGTAATGTTTCAACCTTTGCCCATTTACTGTGAACTTGTTTGTCCCGTCTTCTGATTCAATATCTACAGCTCAACTCAAGAACAATTGCACCACTCTAAACGGTCCTGACCATCGGGACTTTAACTTACCTGGGAACAATCTCAATCTCGAGTTGTATAACAATACTAGATCTCCGGGTTTGAAGTTTCGATCCAAGATGTGCTTATCATGCATTAATTTCATCCTTTCTTTGTATAATCTAGCACTCTCAAAGGCCTGGAACCTGAATTCCTTGAGCTCATGTAATCCCGTGACTCTGTTAGTGCCTACTGTCTCCATGTCTAAGTTCAACTGCCTCAATTCCCAAAGTGCTTTATGCTCTAGCTCAACTGGGAGGTGGCATGCATTACCAAACACCAACCTGTACGGTGACATCCGAATTAGGGTTTTGAAGGTTATGCGGTATGCCCACAATGTATCATCCAATTTCTTTGCCCAGTCAGTCCTTGTTGCATTCACTATTTTTGTGAGGACAATTTTAATCTCCCTATTGGACACTTCAACTTGCCCGCTCGATTGTGGGTGGTACGGGGTGGTCACTTTATGACGAACTCCATATTTTTCCAACAGTCGTGCAAATGCTCTATTGCAGAAATGGGTTCCGCCATCACTGAGTATAGCTCTTGGGGTACCAAAACGTGTGAAAATGTTCTTCTTTAGAAAGCCTAGTACTCCCTTAGCATCATTGGTCGGAAGAGCTACTGCTTCGACCCACTTGGAGACATAGTCAACTGCTACCAATATGTACTTATTACCATACGAGCTGACGAATGGACCCATGAAGTCAATCCCCCACATGTCAAAAATGTCCACCTCTTGAATTGTGGTCATTAGAATCTCGTGTCTACGGGATATGTTACCAGTTCTTTGGCATTCATCGCAGCTTTTATTCCAAGCATGGGCATCCTTGAACAGAGTAGTCCAGTACAAGCCTGACTCCAACGCCTTAGCTGTTGTCCGAATCCTTCCAAAGTGTCCACCATATGGTGAAGCATGGCAAGCCTGCAAAATAGAATGTTGATCTTTCTCGGGGATACACCTCCGGATCATGTTATCTACACATATTTTAAACAATAGAGGTTCATCCCAATAATAATGTCGACAATCACGAAAGAACTTTTTCTTTTGAATTGAGGAGAGTTCATAAGGTACAATACCACTTGCTAAATCATTAGCAATATCAGCATACCAAGGTGCCTCCTCCATTGTCATTGTCAGTAATTGTTCATCCGGGAATGTCTCTGTTATATCCTCAACCTCTACCTTCTTTTCAGCTCCTTACAACCTTGAGTGGTGATCAGCTACTTGGTTCTCTGTCCCTTTCCGGTCACGTATTTCCAGATCAAATTCTTGTAACAGAAGAACCCAGCAAATCAAGCGTGGCTTTGACTCCTGCTTTTCTATCAGGTATCTAATTGTTGTATGGTCAGTGTAAACAATAACTTTCGAGTCAATCAAATATGACCTGAATTTATTGAATGCAAAAACAACAGCCAACATCTCCTTTTCCGTCACAGTGTAATTGAGTTGTGCACCGCTCAGCGTTCTGCTTGCACAATAAATTGGGTGCATCAGTTTACCATGTCGCTGCCCCAAGACTGCTCCTATGGCGTAGTCACTGGCGTCGCACATGAGCTCAAATGGTTTCTCCCAGTTGGGTGCAACAATGATGGGTGCAGTCACCAATCTTTTCTTCAATTCCTCAAATGCGAACCTGCATTCATTAGAAAACACAAAGGGGTGATCCTTTTCAAGGAGTTGCATAATGGGTTAGCAATTTTGGAGAAATCTTTGATGAATCGCCTGTAGAACCCGACGTGCCCAAGGAAACTTCTCACCGCCTTGACCGAAGTGGGCGGTGGTAGTTTTTCAATCACGTCAACCTTGGCATGGTCGACCTCAATTCCCTTACTAGGCACTCGATGTCCCAAGACTATCCCTTCATGTACCATAAAATGGCACTTTTCCCAGTTCAACACTAAATTTATCTCCACACATCTTTTAAGCACTCTTCTTATGTTGTGAAGATAGTCCTCGAATGAATCCCCCACCACAGAAAAATCATCCATAAAGACCTCCATAATATCCTCCACCATGTCTGTGAAAATGGCTAACATGCATCGTTGAAATGTCGCCGGTGCATTGCAAAGTCCAAAAAGCATTCTCCGAAAGGCGAAGATGCCATATGGACAAGTGAAGGATGTTTTCTCTCTATCTTCAGGGGCTATTGATGTTTGATTGTACCCCGAATAACCATCCAAGAAACAGAAGTGCGAGTGCCCGGCCAGCCTGTCCAACATTTGGTCAATGAAAGGCAATGGGAAGTGGTCTTTCCGGATGGTTGTGTTCAATTTTTGGTAATCCATGCAAATTCGCCGTCCCGTGACTATACGAGTTGAGATCAACTCATTGTTCTCGTTTTACACAATAGTCATTCCCCCTTTTTCGGCACACATTGGACAGGACTGACCCAATTGCTATTAGAGATGGGGAAGATGATTCCCGCATCTAACCATTTGATCACTTCCTTCTTTACCACCTCCTTCATGTTCGGGTTTAGCCTTCGTTGATGTTCTCTAGAAGGTTTGTGCCCTTCTTCCAAGAGAATCTTGTGCATACAGAAGGCTGAGCTGATACCCTTTATGTCTGCCATGGTCCAGGCAATGGCAGTCTTGCTTTCCTGCAGTACTTGCAAGAGCTATTCTACCTGCACATCTAACAAACCGAATGATATAATAATACGCAACGTAGAATCGGGGCCTAAGAAAACGTACCTGAGGTGAGCTGGGAGTGGCTTCAACTCCAACTTGGGTGGTTCCTCTACCGATGGTTTTGCTGGAGGTGTAGCCCTTTTTTCTAACTCAAGGGACTTGAACTGAGGTTCCCTTGTCCAGAATCCCTTGGCCTTCAAGTGCTATGACCCACTCGGCCAACCCTTCACCATCCATTTCTTCTAAATTTATCATGCATGCCTTTAATGGATCTTTATCAGTCAGGGCCACATCATCTTCTTGCAGGATCACATCCACTGCCTCCACTAGAGAGCAATTCGCATATTCACCGGGTCTCCTCATAGATTGTAGAACATTGAATATGACTTCTTCATCATTCAGTCTCATTTTTAATTCCCCAGTCTCACAATCGATCAGGGCTCTCCCAGTGGCCAAAAATGGCCTACCTAAAATGATAGGTATCCCCTCATCTACCTGAAAATCCAGAGTAACAAAGTCTGCAGGGAACACGAATTTCCCCACTTGCACCAATACATTATCAAGAATCCCCGTATGTCGTTTTACCGTGCAGTTAGCCAGCTGCAGCAGCATCGAAATCGGTCTAGCTCTGCCAATGCCCAGTTTGGTGTATACAGCCAAAGGCATCAAATTTATGCTGGATCCCAAATCACATAATGCCTTTGCAAAGGCGTAACTCCCAATCGTGCACGGAATAGTGAAGCTACCTGGGTCGGACATCTTTTCAGCCATCGGTCTGGTCACTACCGCGCTGCAGGTCTGCGTCAGAGTTACTGTGGATAGATCCTGAAAATCAAACTTCCGTGACATTAGGTCTTTCATCATATTTGCATAACCTGACATCTCCCTCAAGGCATCCATTAAAGGAATATTCAACTAAATTTGACGCAGCATCTCCATGAATTTCTTATATTGATCCTCCTTCTTTTGTTTTACCAGTCTCTGAGGGAATGGTGCAGGTATCACCCTTTGTACACTGCTTGTTGGCTTCTCTCTGTTGGGGTTCTGTGGAACAGGAGGCACCACCTGTTCTGTAGCTTGTTCATTAACCTTAGCCTTATCCTTTTCATCTTAGCCCTGTTCAACTACCACTTCAGTCAAATTTGTTGGTTCATCTACCTCTAGTGGAATTAGCGTGGCTGGCGTAGTCTCATTGCTAGCTTGTGCAACCTCCTGCTCTTTGTCTAAATATCTCCCATTCCGAAAACTTACTGCCATTAGCTGATTCGGGTTTTGCTCCTTGGGGTTAATATTTGTATCCGCTGGCAATGTTCCCTGGGGGTGATTGTTTAAAGCCATAGATAACTGCCCTAACTGAGTTTCGATGTTTTTATAGTTGAATCATGTACTGCCAACTTTTCTTGCATCTTACCGTTTGTCCCAATGAGTTACTAGAGCATCCCCCTGATCTCTACCATGTTGTTATCTTGCTGCTGAGGAGGTGGCTGATATGTCAACTGTTGCTGATTCTGCTGTGGGTATCCTTGTTGTCTCGGGTGGTATGGAACCATTTGGCCTTGAGCTTGCATGCCCCCATGCTGAGGCATGTTGGGTCTGTATTACTGATTTGATGTCGGTCTACACTGTTGTCCTCCTTGTCTCTTACCCCCAAAGTTGTTAACATAATTCATATCTTCCCTTGCCCCTTGATTTTCACCTTCTCCGCT